ATAAGAGAAGTTTTATTGTTACTCATATTCAGAAAACTGAATCAAACTTGCAGCCAATATTATCAATGGAGTCTAGAGACAGATTAGCTGGTCAAAACGAGCAGGTAGACTTCATTGTTTAAATAAAAATCTTACATGCTCCACTGAAGAAAACTTCACCCAGATGGTGAATTATTAAATTCCTGCCACTAAGCAAATGCACTCCCCTTCACCTGTGGGTTACCCAGCAACTGGCAATTTGGCAGCAATACACTTATTTTTATGATTAACCTTGTCAATTCCCAGGCACTTGCTTTCCCAAAGAGCTGACCTTTTCCTACATATTATTTTTGACAAGCAATGGCTCATTACTCTCTTTTACTGTCAGTATTTTAATGTTCAGTTTTCAAATTATTATAGAAGGCAGAGGCATCAACACCCTCTATTAAGATTTCCTCACACTTTCCACAATGAGGTCTTGCTATGCTGAAACTTTAAAGCTGAAATTTCCTTTGCCACATTTGTTTCTCTCTCTAACTGCAGCAAACTCCATAATTCAGTTTTGGGCTAACTTTGTTCAGATCAGTGTAGCCTCATAAAAAGCAATCATTTTTGATTCAGAAGTCCTCTGTCTTTCACATCAGAAAGGCAAGAGAACTTCTCCATTCCTGGAAGTGGTCAAGGCCAGGTTGGAAGGGACTTGGAGCAATCTGGTCTAGTGGAAAGTGTCCCTGTCCATGGCAGAGGGGTTGGATTCAATGACCTTTAAAAGGTGCTTACATCTTAAATTATTCCATGATTCTGTGAAGACAAAAAGAGCAAAATCAGTAGAATGGACCATGCTCAATGTGCCAGAGAAAAGGCTCTTTATTTCCAGGCTTTCCCAAGGTCTACCTTAGATATATTTGTCTCAAAATTTAGGGAAATACTGTGTATGGCAATAAATCAAACTCCGCTTCCAATACTGAGAGTTGAAAACATATAAGACCACTGCTCTGTTCTCTTAAAGCAATGTGAGGAGTTTGAAACACTCTGCAAACAATAGGGATTTTCACAAACCTGCAGAAAAAACAGGAATGGAAATCAAACTTCCTGGCTTCTGTGCCCTAATCATAAGACTGAATTTTTTTCCTAGTCTTGCAGTTTCCACAAGTTCAAGGTGAACTTAGTGATAAGGAGATCTGCTCGGGGCAGAAGGTATAGGAAAACAGAGTGAGCTGGGACTTTGTGTGACTCTCAATCCTCAGCTGCATCTCTCTGTGGGCGTTTGGTGTGAGAAGACTCTGTGCCTAAGTGCTGCTCAGCTCTTTGTCCTCACTGATGTGTTTTCTTCTCTTCCCTCTGGAAAAGACTTCAGTGGAGCTGTTTTCAAAAAGGGACCAAAAAAAAAAAGTCAACAGCAGTGGGAGAAAGAGAAAAACAAACCAGCAGGTTTTACAGTAAAATAATCCATTTAGTTACTAAGCCTTGGTTTGTTACTGCAATATCTGGGCTGTTAAAAAGCTCCCAGCCCCTGTGGTTCACAGTCCTAACACAGCTGAAACTGGGCTGAGCAATCCTTCTGGAGATTATATTAGCTGATATTCATCAGTGGCTTCATTTACAACTTATCTAGCTTCTTTTCTATGCTTTCCCAGCTGGATTTGTATTTGGCTACTACTTCTGCTCTTATTGCCAGACCGTATGCACTTACATTATGCACTTACATAATGTAAGCTTTCCAGGAGCAATTCTCTGGCTCTTCCTGGTCTAAAAGTGACATTATCTTTTATCCCTCGACTTTCAGGCTTTTTGTTCAATATTTCCAGCTTGATTTTTTGTTATGTGCCCTGGCTGGTAAAGTGAAAGATACCCCACAAAACTACTGGCATGGACCCTTTCTACAGGATTAAATGCAAGAGGATAAAACCCACTTGCAGACTAAGGTGACTGCACTCTTAAGTTACATCTTTTAGGTCAGTATCTTACGTTAGTTGAGGTAACTCTGTGCCACCGTTCTGGCCACAAAGATGTCAAAAGTCCACACTTCAAATAATCACAATTTATTGAGGTTGCTTCAATTTCTCATAGTATCTAATATTTCACATAATCAGAATGGTTTGGATTGGAAGAAACCTTAAGGATCATCTCATTCTAAGCCTCTGCCATGGGTGGAGACACTATCCCAGGTTGCTCCAAGCCCCATCCAAACTGGCCTTGAACACTTCCAGGGATGGGCAGCCACACCTTCTCAGGCCAGCCCATGCGAGGGCCTCACCACCCTCACAGGGAAGTTTTTCCTACTACCCATTCTAAATCCACCCTCTTTCAACTTAAAGCCATTTCTCCCCATCTTATTCCTTGCAAGATACTCTCCACAACTTTTTTCATGCTGGAGTGTGGGCACAAGCACAGTTGCAAGCAGGTTCAGATCACTCCATTGCAAGCTGAATTTGCAAAATGTAGTTTTGTGCAAAAGGCTTGTAAAGACAGATGAAGCCCAGACTGACCAGATTCATTCCTCAGCCATTTCATGGTCACTTTATTCACTGGATGATGGCATCATGAAGTACTACGCTGAGAGTAATAGTCTGCTCCTTTAAGAGTGGAAACAGCCACTTTTGAGGAAAAAGGCTTGGATTAACATATTTGTAAAGTTTAGTATAATTTTGCAGGTTTTCTAGTGAGGGAGATATCTTTCAAGGGAGATTCTTTTTAAGCTAATGCTTTTAAAAAAAGAGAAATAACTGGTATTTCCAGGTTCTTCCCTTGCAGAGCCTGTGGCTGCAGAGCCACCTTGTGGGGGAGACAGACGGTTCTGCCGAGAGGAGACTTCTTTTTACTTTTGATTTTTCATATGCCATGGCTTGCTCAGGAAGCAAAAAGTCTGTGCAAGATATGCTGCTCACCCCAGCATCTATTTCACTCACCTTGGAGTATCAACAAGTCTTCTCACTCTGTAGAAATTCCCAAACTCCCTGAGAGCTGAAACACAGAAGCCAATATTCTTCTCATCTCTCCCTAATTTAATACTCTCAGTTCGGAGAATTTTGGAAATGCTGCTCCCTTGAGGTTTCATCAGTTCTACTTGAAAATAAAAAGATGCCATCTAAATTTCACAAACTGAACAAATGTTCCTACAAATGGGTGCGGCTCGATATACAAGAGGTGCAAACGTCTGAAATTAAGGCAGATAATTGGTTCAATGATTTTTATTGGGGAAAGAAGACAGGGAATTAGGAAAATCCCTCTCATTGGAGTGGCTAAATGTTCCATCCTCTTCTGGAGACACCACAACGGAGTGCTGAGCCTGGAAAATGAGAACTGGGAATCCTCTAGCAGTGCAGAATGTGGGGTCACAGCTGGGGGTGGGGATAATGCCAGGAGCAGGGTGCTGGGAGCTGGGGGAATATCCCTGGGATGGCAGGGCAAGGAGATATTGGAGAGGCCACAAAGATGATGAGGCCTTTGAAACATCTCTTGTAGGAGCAGAAACTGCAGGAACTGGGCCTGGTTAGTCTGGGGAAGAGAAGACTGAGAGGGAATCTCAACAATTTGTGTAAGTATCTCCAAGAGAGGTGCCAGGAGAATGGTGCCAGGCTCTTTACAGTGGTGCCCAGCAACGACATTAGGAACAATGCTCATAAAATGAAACACGATTTCCACCTCAGCATGAGGAAGAACTTTTTACATTGAGGGTGGCAGGCTGCCCAGGGATTTTGTGGATTGCCCCTCTCTGGACACATTCCAAACCCACCTGGACACATTCCTGTGTCAGCTGCTCCAGGTGACCCTGCCTTACCGGGGGCGGGTTGGACTCCATGATCTCCAGATCTTCCAGACTCAACTCACAGAATTACTGAATATTTTTTGTTGGGACTTTACAGACGGTGTCATTCCAACCACCCTGTCATGGGCAGGGACACCCTGCATGAATACAAATTTATGTGCTTATATAAAGACCTACATCTCTACACATGTAAATATGTATGTACACAGGTTCATACATTTCCCACTTCCAGCCTGAACGGCCAAGGTACAGAACAGGATGAAAACAAAGGTGCTTTTTAGTGTTTCCAGGAATTTTGTGACTCCTGCCTGGGATTATTTTGTGATTCTTTATGTCCCCAGCAAGGGAGTGCCTTATTTATGGTACAATTCCGATCTTAAGAGTGTTATAAACGAGAGACAAAAGTCTCGATATTCAGCAAAATTTAGGTTGCTTTATTTGATATAGACAGAGCAAGCAGCGCGCTGGAGAATGTGAGGGGTCACCGCCCACTCCACGCCCCACCGAACCTTGGTTTGCAGCCTCTTCTTATACTGTGGTTTCTCGTTGTAATCAATAATGTTTGGGGGTTTTTTGCTGTCATAATTTTGCCAGGTAAACAGTGGTGGTTGCATAAACATTCTTACACAAATTCACAAAGCCTCCGGGCTATAATCAGTCACAGATAGCCATCGGGTCCTTGTAGATAAGCACAGAGAAGTTCTGGAAGTCTGGTCTTTGAGATAAGCAGCATTGATCAGACAAAGGCAGGAAGGGCTATTGGGAAGGCTGATTTTGCAAGCTGGTAGCCGATACAACTTATCTGGAAAACATAACATAATATAATATAATGTAACATAATACAACATAATATAACAAGGTGATTTTAAACAGAACGATTTTATCAGATAATTTTCTTTATCTAGTGTCCATGCTTCACTTCAGAGCTTAGTATTCTGGTTTATACAAACCCCAATGCTTTTGTGATTAACACGAGTCTTTTATCAATTATCACAAGAGTATAATCGGAATTAGGTGAGATCTAATTTTACAGGAAAAGAAGTAACAACCTATCAAAACTGGGAATAGGTTTCGCAGAGCATTCGAATAATTCTGCCCAGGGCTGGAGGCTCCGTGGCCCAGGCGGTGATTAAATTGAGGTTTTAAACCACTTCAGAGCACGTTTAAAACTGAGTTTTAAGGCATATTTGAAATCCTCGCGCCGCGCCCCACACATCCCTCAGGCCGCGCCCCCGCCTCTCCCTCAAATCAGGAGGCGCCAGCGGCGCCGCCCCCGCCCCTCAGCGCAGGCGCTCAGGGCCGGAGGTTCGAGTCCCGAGGCGGAACGGCCCGGAGATGCCGGCGGAGCCCGGGGTGCTGCGGGAGGCCGCGGAGGGAATCCCGCAGGCGGCCGCAGACAGCGGTAAGTGCCCGCTGGCCTGGGCAGGGACCCAGCGCGGCTCCCGCGGGAGCGGCGGTGCCCGGGAGAGCGCGGAAAGTGGGGACGGCGGGAAGGGGTGAATGGGCCGGGCCCGCCGCGGCGTGCGCAAGCGCACTGGGAATGCGTGTGGTTATGGTGGACGCGGTGCCGTCGGGGTTTTGGTGGTTTGTTTTTTTTTTTGAGAATTGCGATCATTGTTTGTGTTTCTCCTCGCAGAGCCCGAGGTGTTTGAGATTGTGTTGCCAATCACTATTTTGGTGCTGAGCGATGAGGATTTTCTCCAGGACGATGATAAGGAGCAGGAAGTATCCATTCCCGAGGTGGAGCAGGAGTTTAAATTAAACAACAGCCTTTGCCTAAAAAATGAAGTGGAACCTTCAAACGACAGTATCCATGTAGGCAATTGGGATGCAAACAAGACTATTTCAAATGAAGATAATTGTATTAAGTATTCCGAGGTTAAATGGTTTGCTGAGAGTGTGTGTAACACATCAAAATTATCTTCAAGTGATGGGTGTGATGCAGACACGGATAAATATGGTCAAAATTGCACGTTACCTACATTGTCTTGCAAAACAGAGCTTCCAGAGATAATCAAATGCAGTGTTGGAGAAGACTGTGGTGATAATGATGGCTTTCAGAAGATTCCTCCTCTCCTTTCCTCTGCTGACAGTGACAGAGCTGACACTTTTGAGACGTTGGTAGTGGTACCCAAACATGAAGAAGAACCTGTCAGTATTGCAAGTGTTCATTTTGATGGCAGTCCGGAGAAACAACCAGAAATCCACAAGGAATTTGAGATAATTGTTAAAGTGGAAGGTAATATATTAGTAAGATTATTCCAAGTTTAAGAAACGTGGTAAACCTCGAGTTTTGAAATGAAAAATGTATAGAAATGCTATGACATCAGTTTCTTTCAGAGTAAGCATTTGAAATTAGATTCATAAATGTAGCAGAAGGAAAATGTTGCCAGGAGTGTGCTCAATTCTTTCACAGACTCCTGTGAAAGGCAGGGAAGCTACAAAAAGTTGGTACTTTGACACAATGAGAAAAAGGGGGGCCTTTCATCAGGGAAGTGTTCTCAAAATAAAAACACAGAAAAAGCGTGGTATTTGTGAGAACAGAGCATTAGGAAAGTTTGGTGTTAGTACTTGGACAGGAATTCTGGCATAAAGGTGTTCTGTTAAAAACTGAATGTGGTACTGTGAAATTCAAGAGTCTTGAGTGAAAATAGAAAGTAGGAAAGAAGGCTGCTTCTTACTGGGAGAAATATTTAAATGTTGGGGGTAGAGGGGAGCATGAAGAGAGGTATTAGGGGATAAAGTGGAGAGAGGGAAATAATGAGGATGTAGAAGTAGTGAAGAGCAAGCAAGTTATTAGGCAGTTTAGGATTATTGCTATGAATTAATCATGAATATTTGTGGTTGTATGAAATGTGACTTTTTATATCTCCTTGTAGATCACGATTCCTTAAAGAATGAAGATAATGAAATTGATTACAGGAAAATAAGCAAATTTGAAGATGAAACTCCAAATGCTCTTTCAGAAATAGCCTTGAAAGAAGAAGAGAAATCTACCTATAATTGTTCTGATCCATTTCTTAATGGATGTTCTCCTACTTTTAAGGAACATCTAGAAGACGTAGGGAAACCTGATAGGAATGCTTCCACTTCTGCTGAATCAAATACTACTGGAGAGCATATTTACAAGATGTTAACACCATTCCCTAGGAGAAGATACCGGCAACAAAAAGTTGTTTCTTCTCAAGCAAGCCCAAAAGAGTTCCAGAGCCAGAAAGAAGGTTTAACATGGCTAGAGGATAATATGACCATCACACCTCTTCCTAAAACGTCTTGTTTTCCAAAGGAGAAGGAAAGATTGAGTTTCAAATGTAGGTTTTGTAGTTCTTTGTATAAATGCAGTGCACACCTGAAGAAACATATTTATTCAGCTCATAAAGATAAGAAAACACATAAATGCTGCTTTTGTAAAAAAACCTTCTTCTTTTCTTTCAATCTTAAGAATCACCTTAAATTTCATAAGAAGATTGCTAGGTTGCAAAAGGCAAGAAAAAATAGAGTAAGTGCGAGAAAAGGGAGGCAGAAAGGATATGAAGGAGAATCTGAGACCAAGAAAAAAGAAAGTAAATACAATAAATTTTTCATTAAAATTGAAAGGGACTTTACACCTCTGGATGTGCCAGTTAGCTTTTCCTGCAGAATTTGTTTCTTTGCTTCATCAAATCCTAGGAGTTTTATTCATCACATGAAGGGACACAAGGAGAGACCACCTTACCAGTGCCCTCAGTGTGATTACTCCTGCAGCAGCTTGTCCTACCTGTTAAATCACATGTACTGGCATGCTGGCTATAAGCTCTACCAGTGCAGGTTCTGCACCTTTTTTTCACTGTATTTTGCAAGCATGGTGAGGCACAGCCACATCCACACAGGGGATAAACCATATTCCTGTGAGCTCTGCCAGGCAGCATTCACCAACACCTCAGGGTTGGAGAGGCACAGGAGGATACATGCAGGAACAGAAACATGCCAAGCGCAGCAACCCGGCTGCCTGAGTGGGAGGAGAAGAACTGAAAGACCTCCAAAGAATTACACATGTAATGAATGTAACCTGGAGTTCTACACTAAAGGACATCTCAGCTTTCACAAGAAATTTCATGAACAGTTAAAGGCTAATGGTTATACGAGTCAGAGTAATAAATACTTTAAAAGCAAAATATGCAAAGCTGATGGTGATTCTCAGGGTGAATCAGCTGATTCTCATGTTTCTCACCCTCTTTTTGGTAGAGAAAATTATTGTCTGGGTGAGGGAATCTTGGGTTCAGAAGTGGCGTTTGAGCAAGCAGGGGATGTGTGGGACAATAAGAAAATATACCCTGGAAAGAAATGCCTTGAAAACAGCCAAGGAAGTAACAGCCTGGCTGTTACTGGAAATAGATCAGAAGTTCCTCAGACCTCTTACCGAATGGACACCGTCACTCACAAAGAGGAACCTTTCTTCAAATCAGAGGCCTCTCATTCACAAGTGCAAGATGATGCTTCATTTCATAACTTTGTGGAAAACTTGGAGCATATGTATCCTTCTAATTTAAATACATTACAAATTTACAGATGCCAGCACTGCAGTTATGCTACTGATGTTCCTAACAACTTCAGGCTGCACCTAAAGATACATACGGATGAAAGACCATTCATGTGTAAAGAGTGCAATACGTCATTTAAAACATCAAACCATTTGCAGAAACACAGCCTTCTTCATGTGAAAAATGGACAGGAGCTTGGAAGTTGTCTCTTTGTAGAGAAGTGTTTAGAGAATCTTGAATTGCATCGTGAAATCCACGGAGGGACGTGTCCAGAAAGGGATTTTTCCTGCCAAGGATTAAACAGCTACTTGCTCGGTTCAGAAGTCAGTGGAGTTCTGCGAGGCGTTCAGAGGGGCACAGCAAATGTGCAAGCACAAAGTCAGCCACGATTATATCAGTGTGCAGAGTGCAACTATGCTACTGGCATTTTAAGCAACCTGGAACTCCACATCAGAACTCACACAGGTGAGAAGCCCTACAGCTGCATCGTTTGCCAGAAGGAGTTCCGTACTTCCAGTCACCTGAAAAGGCACGGACTCACACATTTGAACGTGGAGCATTTCAAGTGCATGAGCTGTGACTACTCAACCAGCAAATGGCTGTCCTTGAAGCGCCACCTGGCTTTGCACACAGGGGAGGGAAGCTCCTCTCCTGGCTGGCTCTACAAGCACAAGGAGCCACCTGTCAAGACATACAGGTGTGAGGAGTGTGGTTATTGCACAACCCACAACGGGAACCTGAAGTTCCACCTGAGGATCCACACGGGGGAGAAGCCGTTCCCGTGCGGGCAGTGCTCCCTGGCTTTCCGCACCTCCAGCCACCTCAAGCGCCACTTGCTGACTCACCTCCGGCTGCACTGCAGGAAGTGCAGGTATTCCACCATGGATAAACACGCTTTCCAAAAGCACATCAGAACACACAGAAAGAAGTACAAGTGTGCAAAGTGTAATGTGGTGCTGCCCACCAGAAAGCTGCTGGAGAAGCATAAGCAGCAGCACAAGCTTGGAATGTGAGGATGAGAATTGGAAGTTGGTGCTTGGTTTTGGACAGGTTTGCATGTCCTGAATTTCCTTGTGGCTTTGTGTTCCTTTGCTGTGCCTACAGCAATGGCTGGTAATGGATGTATCCAGCATTTTGGTCGAGAGAGTGAATCTTGGGGTACCGGTTTGCTGCAGGTGTTTCTGAGAACATCAATTCTAGCACAGGCTTTGCTGAAGATCTTGGAGACACTTTTTCATCCCTGAGTAACTTCAGCAAAGGTCAGTTATTTTGGCCAGTGTTCATTGCTGTTTAAACAGTTATTCTGCACCACTTTTTTTTTTTTTGTAATATTTTAATAAGAAAAAAATATTCTTTAACTGAAAGAATGTCTAAAGGGAGAGAAGGAAGGGCATGTTATATTTTATAGTAATAACTTTCATATAAAAATTATCAGTGTATCAGGAGGCTTAATGCTACCTCCCATCTGCTGAAAGTTGCCTCCTTTACTCCAAGGTGCTTTTGCAGTACTTGTAAGAGGAAAATATAATAGTATTTCACCAAATTACATGAACAAGATATGCGTGTCATCGCTGGGTAATAGTGAAATGAAAATGTTTTCCATGTATCTGTATGTATAAGATGTTTATTAAGCTGTTACCTTGTCTGAAGTTTTTTGATAATTTTTTGAGAAATTAATTACCAGATATGGTAATGTCCAGAAACATATATTTTATGACACTGGGAATCTTTAAGTCTTCAATTTTATGTGAATGTCCAATGTTAATCTAGTATGAATCTAGCCTTGCCTTTTCTCAGGTTGGTAGTTACTGTGTTGTTTGTTAATATAGATGATACACTTTTCAAATAACTTCTGTTAATATGAGCAGTTGCTGATAATTGTGAATGTTATTTAGTTACATTGAAAACCTTAGAATTTAAAACTGTTACATTTATTTTAAGAACTTTACTCTTAGTCTAAAATATCGTGTGTAAGAACCATTGTACTGTGCAGCAGTTGGTTCAGGGTATGGTGAACCCAGATGCGTGCTGCTTCCAATTTGTATTCAAATCCGGACAAATCTTTGTTTATTTTGGAGTTGGGCAGTGTTAGGAACTCTTGAATGTGGTAAGTGGTTTTAATAATAGTGTGTTATCCCTTTTGTGAGGAAAGACAACAGCAAAGGGCTGGTGCAAACTTGTCCCAATGCTACAGCTCAGTCAATGGAGCAGCAGAACAAACCTGTGGTTTAATTTAGAGAATGTAAATGTGGAACTCAGTGCTTTTTTTTTTCTGCTCCTGGATGTCTGCCTTTCTGTAGAAATACAGATAATGTCTGGTAGAGGATTTGTGGTAACGTAGGAGACAGGTTGGGAAGGGCTGCCCAGAGAGGTGGTGGAGTTCTCTTCTTTTCAGGTATTTAAAAGCCATCTGGATGTAATCCTGGACAACTGGCTCTGGGTGGCCCTGCCTGTGCAGGGGCTTGTCTTCCAGAACTCCTGCAGCCATTCTGTGATTTGGAAGGCAATTTTCCACTCATGGATTGAAACTCATGGACAGATGCATGCATTTAAGGCCAGATCAGTGAAGATATTCAAGTGATCCAGTTCTTTGGAGTTTCAGTAAAGTCAGAGAAGTATCTGTGCCTGAACTGTGGTGGTTACAGATGAGTGATTTAGACCTTGGAGTCACCTAATCCAGTTGTGAGAAAGAAGAATGTTATCCTGTATGAAGAAAGAAAAGCATTTCTGGGAAATATTAAATGGTTACTCAAGCTTGGGGGAGTTCTTACCTGCGTTACATTACAATTCTGATCATTTATTTGAAAACAACAGGTACAAAGAGAAAACAAAACTACTGAAGGAATTGTGAGCCTCTACATCATATGAGACTAGGAAGGCTAAATCTGATAGAGCACACTTGTTTAAAAGTATGGTGTACAATGATGATGAAGAGAGCCTGGTTTAGGGGGATAAATTAACTGCAGTAAATTTTTGAAAGAGTGTAAATATAAGTTTGTTCAAGTTGTAAGTAAGAACAAGGTCTTTTCAGTTGGATGATTTTATAAAAATAATTATTGATGATTTCATAAAAATAATTCCTAGTCTCTGCCTCTAATAAAAATAAACAGTTCAATGACTCTTGGTGTTGCTTTCTGTTCCTTATGCACTGCACTGGATTTTTGGGGTTTCAAAGGTATTTTCAGTCTGCTAAGTGAAATTTAAAGGTTGAGGCATATTCAGTTTCAAATAAGACAAGGGCTGTTGTTGGTATCTTTTTTTGGTAGCTAGAAGTGTAATTTTTTTTATTCCTGCAGTTTAAAAAAAAAATCAAAGCCTTTCCTAAATCATAGTATGAAGTTTCCTATTGAAACAAAAAAAGTTTCATCATTTTCTCCATTAACATATCCTAAATTTGGACAAAACAGGGAAATGTAACAAGATAAACTGGGCAAAAGGCTGTCATTTTACCTGCTCTGCATCTGCTAATTAAATTAATACAAGTTAAACAGGAGGTGATGAAAATGAACAATAGTGAGTCAGACCTGTATGGTGTAGTGGTGCATCTTCCTGTTTGGGCCACACTTGGCCTCAGAAATGGTCTCAAAATTGGTGTCAGGGCTCGTTAGGCTTGGCCTTGACAAGCTGGGCCAAGCTCCTCTTGAGCTTATCCAAAACATTATTGGCCCCCAGTGCAGGCTAAGGGGCCCCCTGGGTTTTGACAGCCTTTGGGGACTTAGTTTTCTTACATGAATAACCACCCAGGTGGAACAACGTTTTTAGTTTTAAGCTTTGAAAGTTACCAACCTGAATTGCAGCCAGGGTGGAAAACTGCTATGAGCAAAGGCAAGTCTGTTGTGACTCTCTAAGCAGTGGTGTTTGAGACCCTCTGAGCTCTCCAGACTGCAGCGGGCTGAGATCAGCACTTCCCTCTGAGTGGGGCCTCTCTGAGCCACACAACTCCCAGGCTGGATATACCTGGGGGACCACAGCTGAGTGACAGTGACAGATCCTGAGCTGACATCCTCACTCCTTGAGATTCAACCCTTCACCCGTTGAGAGTGACATGAGTACTTACCAGTGAGAATTTCCCAAATTGGGGTATGTACCTTGTACACACTCCTTTATAGTGTCTGAGAGTGTGAATATGCAAACGCACCATCAATATTGCTCTCTCATGTAGAATCATAGAAAGGTTTTGCATTGGCACCTTAAAGATTATCTCGTTCCACCCCCTGCCATGGGCAGGGACACCTTCCACTATCCCAGGCTGCTCCAAGCCCTGTCCAACCTGGCCTTGGACACTTCCAGGGATCCAGGGGCAGCCCCAGCTTCTCTGGCAACCTGAGCCAGGGCCTCACCACCCTCACGGCCAAGAATTTACTCCACACATAAACGCGCGGGGCTTTTTCCTGAAATTAACAAGATACCGTTAAACGGAACATGGGGGAGATGTGATTTCCTTCCGCTGTCCTTTTGCTCCGTCATTTGCGTCCCTCGGGGAAATTTGAAGAGTTTAATGAACGCTCGGTTCCTCCCCTCGGCGCCCCCCAGACCCGTCCGCCGTGCGCTCCTCCAGCCGGCAGGGGGCGCTAGCGCGGAGCGCGGCCTCAGGACATGCGGGGGGGCTGCGCATGCGCGGAGCGGCCGGACCCGCTTCCCTGGAGGAGCAGCGGCCTCGTTTCCCTTGGAAAAGCCGCCGGTCCCGCTTCCCTGGGAAACCAGCCGGACCCGCTTCCCGCTTTTCTGGCAGAGCAGCCGGTCCTGCTTCCCTCGCCCTCGGCACTCGTCGCTGCTGAGGGCGACCGTGCGCGGTCTCGGCCGGCCCCGCTGACGCCAGCCGCGCTCCCGTCCCCTTTCCATTCTCTCGCTCCAGGGGTTCGTCCCCGCCTCCCTTCGCCGCCAAGATGCCGCGGATTATGATTAAAGGCGGCGTGTGGCGCAACACCGAGGTAGGACTCGGCGGGGTTTGAGCCCTCGTCCCCCTTCAGGGCCCGGGGAGGTGGGGGGCCCTCACTGTGCGCAGGCGCAGGGTGGGTGTCGTGGTGCGCTTGCGCGGGGGGCTCCGGTTTTGGGGTGTCCCGGGTCTGCTGGAGCCCCTTGTGCCGGGACAGCGGAGGGTCTGGGGTCTGCAGGAGCGAGTGCAGGGAAGGGCAGCGCAGCTGGGGAAGTGTCTGGATCACAAGTCTGATGAGGAGCGGCAGAGGGAACTGGGGAGTCTCAGCTGGAGAAAAGGAGGCTCGGGGGGGACCTTGTGGCTCTGCACAACTCCCTGACAGGAGGGGATAGCCAGGGGGAGTCGGGCTCTGCTCCCAGGCAACAAGCGACAGGACAAAAGACAAAAGGACATGGCCTCAGACTGCACCAGGAAAGGTTGAGATTGCACATTAGGAAGAATTTTTTCATAGGAAAGGGTGATTAAGTACTGGAATGGGCTGCCCAGGGAGGTGATGGAGTCGTCGTCCCTGGAGGTGTTTATAAAGAAAGGCTGGATGTGGCACTGAGTGCCATGGTCTCATTGACATGATGGTGATCAGGCATTGATTAAACTCTGATCTGAGATGCCTTTTCCCACCTAACTGATTCTGTGATTTCTTGGCTCTCTGTTGGGCTGCATTCCCCAGCAGCCTGTGCCTTCCTCCTTCCTGCTGCCTCAGTGGGCAAAGGTCACATTGATGGTGTTTCTCCCTCGGACTGCAGGTTGGGAAGCTCAGCCATGTGTGTGTCGTGTCCTTCTGCCCCAGAGAAACTGTTCCCATTGCCACTGGACTGGAAGCATGGGCTGGGCTATGCTTGGAGATGTCCCTGTCACAGACTAGCGTGTGGCTTGTACTGCATAGGCAGGTTTCTTATGCTCTAGGGAAATGAGGCAGCAGGAATCTCTTGCCCTTTAATATATTTCCAAATGTGGAAATGGCAAAGGCAGAGATAGAATTTTTAGCATTGGAAAAGACTTAAGATTACCAAGTGTCCAGCCATAAACCCAGCACCACCACCATGTTCACCATTTAACCTGTCCTTAAGTGCCACATCCACATGTTTTTTTTATCACTTCCAGGAATGGTGACTCCACTACTGCCCTAGGCAGCCTGTTCCAATGCTTTACAACCCTTTCTATGGGAAAAAAAATTCCTAATAACTAATCTAAACCCCTAGTGCAACTTCAGTCTGTTTATTGGCACTGTGTGTGGGCTCTTCATCTGCAGCCCCAAGAATTCTGAACACAGAAATTATTGTTCCAAAAACGAATGATACCCTCCTGTTTTGCTGTTGCAAGCTTTCAGAACCTCAAGTGGTCATGGAAAATAAATTAATAACACGAGAAATCAAGGATGTCAGTTTTATTAGATGCATGTTTAAAGCAAAAGGATGTACCTGGCACTGTAAAATACAGAACTCTGTCACTGCATGCTGGGAGCACCAGGCATGTACGTGGTTCCAGGAAACAGTGAGGAAAAAGTAATAGAAGATAAAATGTACTTTGTGTGTTTTTAAGCACTTGTGATATATCAGTGATGTGCCAGGAAGCACCAAAATT